TCAGGATTAAAACGTTTGAGGCAATTTGTTGTGTACTTTTTATTCGACGCGTTTTGTTACAATTTGTTAAAACATTAAAATGGCATAAGATACGCTCAAGAGTAAACAGCGCTTCACAGTTGTCTGATATACGAATGTATTGCCTTTGAGACATCATGCGAAATGTTTGCCATGTGGCGGCAAATTCTTCGTGACATATGTTATAACTAGATTTTTACACGTCCTCTTGCCATGAATGTTAGCAAAAGATGTGCTTTTCAATCACAGGCTGCCATTAAATGATGAATGTACTATTGTGTACTATTTTGAAAAAGTGCGTATGTCTCCATTACAGAGTACGACGAAAATGTAGAGAAAGGGATATTCAATTAGTGTAATATTGAGTTTTGTTTATCGGTAATCTATTGGATGAACAAAGATCGAAAATAAGAATTTTTATCAAAGCATTTGTCTTTGTGCCAAAAGGCGGCGAGTGCACCAAATTTTGTCAAAGTATCTCAAATTTTGCGGCATACAGCAAAGCACACGCAGGCAAGCAAGACAAGGGTAGGTCTGTTTCCAAGTTTAGCATACAGCCCAAAAAATTTAATATACCCTTGTATTACACGTGGTATGGCGAAAGTGATTCTTAATCGCTCTAAGTGTTATCTGTCTGTTTGTCCGCGTTGTGTCCAAATTAAACGCCTAGAAGGCAATTTTCGATGAAAATTTGATGAAAATTTGCACACTGCTGCACACTTAACATGAGGATAAACACTAAAAATGGTGATGATCGGCCCACGTTCATTACAACGCTTCATTTTGATAAATCGTTGTAAGAATGTCTGTGGGGTGGGATGAATATCATTTTGCTTGCATTAAAGGAGTTGGAAATCAACTGACAAAATATTGGATTATAGGAAAAAAGGTCCTTCAGCTAATGATTTTTTTTTTACACATTCTAAATGCTTCAAAGCATGTAACAAACCAATAAAAAATTAACTTATATTACCCTTAAAGAAAAACAGCAGTTTTTGTGCATACATTCTTAAAAGTTTATTTTTCTTATTTTCATCATTTTCATTTTTTGCTTTCCTTCTTTCACTTTGAATTTAAGTAATTGAAGCAAAATTACTTCTGATTACTAATCAAGTATTGAAAAGTAAATTTTATGCGTCATCTGCTTAACTATAGCATAAAATGCAAGTGAATTAAAGACTTTGTGAATACTTTGTTCAAATTTTACTTAATTTAAAGTTTTTATATATATATATTTTTTTTTTTTTTTTTTTTTTGTTATTTTAATGACACTTCAAAATTGAAGTGCAAGCTAATAACTTGAAACGCAAAAAGTTATTCCCAAGTATTGTATAGCGTTAAGTAAACCTCTTCAAGAAAATGAATGCTCAAAAACGCATAAGAATCAATGGGAGAAAAGCTATAATGATGCGAAAGTATTGCGTTGAAAATTTAAGTATATGTGCATACACAAAGTAGATGGAACAATCAAGGCATGGAAAAAATTATATTTATATTATAACGAATATAATAACCGCCGCTTACTTGCTTTCATTCACTTTTAATATGTAAAAATGTATGGCTTTAATAACAAATGTGTAAAACTTTCAAACTGTGTAAGCCTACAAGTTCTATATAAAGTATAGCATCTGTAGCGACACTGCTTATTTAAGATGTCATATACATCTCCATATAAATAGGCTCTGAGCTAAGGATATTCAAATATAAGTGCAAATTTACTTCTACAGATATATTTGGAGCTTAAGGTGTCGAAAGCCAAAAGAACGAACAAACATAGATCGCCGAGGCAAATTTTTAATTTCAATAGTAAGACTAAAATTTTGACATTACTGGCTAAATCGATTTTAACTATTAACGCTGCCGGGGAACATGTTAAGCTTATTTCAGTTTAAGGGAACTTGTTCGTTACATTATTTGTAGAAGACACAGTGCCAAGGAGCGGAGATCTTTATGTCTCGATTGGTATACTGAGACTGAGACTGTATGAGATATGGAAGGATGGTAGATGGCGATTGTACGTTAGGCAGGGAACTGTATGGGATGTGAAAGCACGATAGGACGCGATTATATAAATTATAGAAAAAATATGAACTGCGACTGTGCGATATGAACTGTGGGAACGAAGATGGGGTGCTGCTGTCTAAGATATTGAAGGAAGCTAGATACCTATGATATGTACTATGGAAAGTTGGTAGATTGCGGCTATTTAAGTTATGGAAGGGAAGCTGGCTAGTCATCGGTGACATGGAAGCAAAATAAATTGGGGCTTTCTGATATATGGAAGGGCAATAAGCTTCTAACATATAAATGGAAGGTAGAATGCCATTATTAGATAAAATGAATTTTAATGTCCTTAAAAATTGCAAACTTTTATTTAACAGATATACAATTATACAAGCACATCATGCTAATTAGAAAAATCTATAGCTTATGAGTTAAAAACGTTTGACAAATTGAACATAATTCCCGCAGTTGATATGAAAACGAATTTGTTAAAACGCCGAAGCAAATAGTGAAAGCTGCTTACATAAATTACTGTTTTGTGCATTTTGCACGTTATACAACAATGGCATTATGATGTTTGATTCTCTCTCTTCTAGCTGTTGTTCATTTTGACTTGGTAATGAATTATGGTCTTCAATGGTCGAATATTTCAAGATCGTTAACAGAGACATTAGGAGTGTATAAAAAGAAGAAAAAGAAAATAAATTTTTGTTTAATGAACATATCCCTTTTGTTTTTGTTTGTGTTGTTTTCGTTCTAAGGCGTATATATTTTTTAAAATTTATTTTATAAAAAATAAGAGAAATTTAAAAAGCGTTCAAAAAAGATTTTTAATTTTTTTAAAGCGAATTTATTATTTAGTTTAGTTGTTACAACAAGCTTTTGGGAAATTTTTTTGAGATAGAAGGAAAGGTAATAGAACAATAATATTCGAGAAGGTCATTAAGCATAACTTGAAGAATTAGAAAAAAAAATATTAAAAAGTTTTTATATATTCTTAAATATTATAAAAAATTTAATTAAAAAAAAAAACTAAAATTTTGTGTGATCCAAGAAGCATAACATTGTCCTTCTAAGTTCAAATATTTCTTTTCGCTCCCTTTCCTCGACAATTTCTCTCTCGAAAGTATCTCTTTTGTTGCATCTGTCAAAGACATAATCGCACTGTTTACACTTTATATGTAAGGGAAATTGGGGAACAAGCCCCAAAAAGTTTGCTCCAAGCTTTTCATTTCTTGGTAGAATCAATTAAAGCTTCGGAACCGCTTTCAGTCTCACATCTTCTTGAAGGTTACCTTGACGAAGCTACACTAACATTTTTCTTTTTGAAGTGCTTTTAAACAACCATAAACTCAGGGCAGAACTTAAAAGGTAAGATATTAAGCCGCAACTTTTTATTGGCAAAGGTATTCTCGTCGTACTGCTAGCGAGATAGTTCAAAATTTTCAAGGAAAACATTTTTTGCTGATAATGAATTTTTTTCCACGTACTCTGGAAAATCCGAAGCATCCATTAGGCAAAATGGATTTAAAAGAGATTTTTCGAAAAACTGACAGCGGTTTACCTCGTTAAACATACTATAATTTGTTTTAAGCCCGTCAGTAGTATGCTTCAATTAACTAAGAACATTTTGTAACATTTTGCCTGAATCTCTGTAATCTCTGAATCTGTAAAATGTTTCGATTTTGCACGTAACATCGAAGCGGTTATGTGGTTACATCTCTAGTGCGTGCATGTGGTTGCGTGACAATTCACGCAATTCTCCTTATCTATTTCCGGGATGGTTTGAGATTCGCGACAATAACGGAAGGGTAAGTTTACTACACTTTCATCATTTGTGGATATTTGAAAAAAAAACAAAAAAAATTTCATGTAGATATTTTGTTTTTTTCAGCAAAAAAAAATATTTATACAGGATACGGTACGTGAATGTTTTCTCTCTCTCTCTTTGGACAGTTTAACACATATACTAGTTGTTTTTTTTTGTTCTTGCCTGATGAAAATTGTGATGGCGCATTATCTATTTTGCATATTAAATGTAGGGGAGCTCTTATCGCCATAAATTTTTGGTAAGTTGGTGATAAGAAATTTTTTTAATACAGAAAAACGAATTCCCTGACGACTTGGCCTAAAGAATTATTTATTAACATTTCCCGTCCGTTGAATTGATGTAAATGTGGTAAAAGGTCCAGATCGAATTGTTATGTATGAAAAACACAGCCATTCACTTATATGTGGTGTGAAGTGTTTAAAAAACTCAGAGAAGTATGTATATATATATATATATAATAGACATTTTTCTAGCTCGAAAATTAGTGCGAATTTGGAAAATTTTAGAAGTCTTTTCGAATCACACCCTTAGGCTGCACTTAAGCTGGATCGCGTAAAAGTGAGTAAAAGACGTGCAAAAAAAATTATTTTTGAAATTAAAAAATTGCCTAAAATCGAAATCACGCCACCAAAGCTCGTATTCAAAACAAAGATAGGAATTGATTGCTTCTCGAAATTTTTCTTCTTCCTAAAATTCTTAAATTTTTTATATTTTTAATTCTTCAAAAATTTTATTATATGTTCAAATTTATTCTGTGATTATAAATTGAGTGTCAAGTTTTAATTTTCTATTTAAATCGTTTTCTAGAAGTCAAAAGCAAATGACGGACAAGTGAGACGAATGATGGATATACTCAAATGGATTTAAAAAACTTTCACTCATCGGGTCATAATTTCAAGTCCACTGGTAAATATATATCACCTCCATCATTCAGAGACAGTGTGGAGCGGCAATATTGTGATGGAAACATCACAACCAAATAACGTCATTAGCCTCACATTTCAGTTTGTGCAAGTGTAAGTAGAACGTAATCATTTCATCTGTTCGTGTGCGTGATAGCCAACCATACAGGTTTGATGTTGAGCGAGAAGTTTTTGTAAAATGCACTTTCTTTTAATTTTGCGAACATGGTGCGTATGGGGCATTAAATCATTTGAAATATGACACATAGGTATATGCAGGCACATGTGAAAAATCCATCAACGAAATTGAACACCAAAACTGTCGTGGCAACGGACGCTGTTAGCAGACAATACGTCAATGGATAAAATAAATAATTTACAACAAACTTTTTCGGGACCGTGTAAAAAAAAAAAAATTATTTTACATAAGAACGAACGATAGGCGCGCCTTTTTTTTGCCTCTTGCGGTAAATGGCACAAAAGTTACTATCACCGTAGCTGTTTCACTAGAATTGATTTCAAAAAAAATTTTTATTCAAAAAGAAATATCGAATACTTTGCTTTTATTCCCTTTTTGAGTGTCACATGCAGCTGATTCACGTATTATTAGAATTTTTGTAAAGCGAAAAAAAATGCAATGCAAAAGAAGTACAAAGGTTATAGTCAGCCATGGCCGACCAATAAACACCATCACCAATTCGCTTAATACAGTTATTCATAATGACTTATATTTTTTGGGTATATGCGGATGTGTGTAGCACTCAGAAGGATTTGAGACCCACCTTTTTATTATGCCGATCGATTTAGTATAACTATCTGAATCATTTTAAGCTTCTCTGTCCGTCCGTCTTGTTTTCTTCTGTGCAATTTTTAAGATATTTTATTAAAGTTTAGTACCCCGATCTGTTTTGCCGTAAGATCGAATTCTATTGAAAATCGGATCGAGGTTTGTCGAGAGAGAAGAGACGCTCCATGATGACGATCATATAATATGACTTAGGTTTCACTCTTCCGTTTTCGCCTTGTTCTTGTATTATTTGTAGAGTATTAAATGGGATCCGAAGTTTTTTAAATGTGGCTGTGAATGTCCTTAAGTCCTCGGCCATCTCTTATATGCATGATTTATAGAATCTGGCGTTCTTTTGTCTGCATTCTGCGCACGACCATCGTAGCCGTTTATTAGGGTCAGACCGAGCATCTATAACTCTGCCTATTGAAATTGGCACACTTCACGTGAGCAAACCGGTCGCATATCCGGTTCATTAGTGATCCCTCCTAGGCTCTCTAAACAAGTTATTAAGTGAAAAGATTGGAACGGAAAGGAGGCTTAATTCAGCTACGATGAGCAATCTGACTATTGTTTAATATAACGACAAGAGATAGTAGTCTTTACAAGTAGGTTGGTGAGACCTAGATTATAAGCAAAATATGCCCTAGTAGATGTAGCCTGGACTATTATACCCTTATATACGACGTATAATAGAAGCAAGTTGCAGTGTTGATGGTATACCTTTGATGGTACTGCTGCTGTTGTCGTTGTTTTGGTTTTAGTTATAGTTGTCGTTGTTTCAGGCGTTACGGTTGGTGTCTTTAACTATCTTGATTCTAGTAGCATTACTTTTTGACGAGTTTTATTGGTGTTGTTTTTGTTCGTATTATTGTTCATTACGCTTTTGTTTTACACGAATTTATATGGTATATAAAATTTGTCATTCTTGTTATGATTATTGCTGCTGTATGATGTTCAGTTGTTGTTTATTTTAAATTACAACATTTTTGGAGAATCTTATCTTGCAATTGCTGACAGGATATATATAATTTAGTATTATTGTTTTTGTTGCCACGATTGTAGGTAAAGCATTGACCCCTTGTGCCTTCAATGTCATGGAATTATTAAGTTTATTTTCAACCGCTTAAATTTTCTTCGCGTAAGTTTTCTTTTTATCGCCTTCATTGAAAATACCGTGAACAATTCGAAAGTAGAAAACTAGGCAAGTAAAGCTAACTTTTCACCAAAAATGTACAAACACTTAAGAAAGCATAGACTTGTTATAATATAAAGGTTCATGTAGAATACTCAAATATATGAGGGAAGTAAATTAAAACCAGCAAGAACATTATAGTCAGGCGAAGCCGATCCTTAAATTCCCTACACCGATTCCCCTAATATAATTATTCGCTCGGTTTAAACAATTACGTATGATTTTCAAGCAAAGGCATACTTTTGGTGAAAGGCCGCATATTGGAGACTGCCCACAACATCGTATGGTGTGGTTCAAACGTATCAAACTTAACTTTCTTCCCAAAAATTTTATTAGCTTATAGTTTTCGTTAAAGAAAACCAGAAGTTATACGTTATCCATATATTATACGGTCCCATAGAGGGAGTTCGTTTTCATGATAACCATGAGGGTCTTCAGTATATACTTATGTGATTCATCTTCCCTACAATTAAATTTTTTGGTTGTTTTGCTACTAAGGACCAATTTTAATCATACATTGTTAAAAACTAGGCATTTTCTTGAAGGAATTACAACTCATGAGAAACCTTTTGCCTGTGTGAGATCTATGTTTTTCAAATTTGGTCCACTCAATCTTAATATTAAATTACTATCATGAGCAAATTTTCATCATAAGTTATTAAAAATTAGGCCTTTTTGGCATATCTGAGGATCTATATTTGATTTCTTTGTCAATTTACTCTTATGCATCAATTTTCATCATAAGTTATTAAAAATTAGGCCTTTTTGGCATACAAAGATTTTTTATATCAGTTTAGAATGACGAAATACTAGCACACAACGAGTTTTGTCGAAAAATTTTGAAATTTTTGTATATAACGACTTTTCAAAATAAACAGTGGTCGAAAAAGTATAGCGATTCGAACCATTTTCAATACGGTTCGTCCTTGAGTCAAAACACACTAGCATATCAAATTTCATTAAAATACCTTAGAAATGGCGAACTGTAGGTTGAATACAATTCTACCTGGCCATATATCACACGGACAGATGGACACTCAGACTTACATAGACAGGCGATTTAGAAAATGATTCTGAATCGTTCGTGTTAAAAATATGTGGATCTATCTTCTTCCTTCCTTCTAGTTGTTACATACGTTCCCACAAACTTAGCATACTCTATGCCACAAGTAGGTTAGCTTATAAAAGTTACAGCTACAAAAATATTTACACCGCAGACGGCTTGATAGAGTTCTCAATTATACTTACGTAGCGTTAAAGGGTAACGCCCTTTCCGCGTTAAATCCTTGCACTTTATAGCATAAAATCCTTACCAAAGGTCATGCATTGAAGAACAACAAGCATTGCCTGCCATTAACAAAATATAATTAAGCTCTTACTAGCTGTGGAAGCTAATTTTTGTATAAATTTTACTTGATTTTATACTCTACACTACTTGTGGTACAGGATATATTAAATAGTCCAGGTGGATTCATATTTTACCATGGATGTGTCCGTCCATCTGTCTGTCTGTCTCTCTGTCCGCCTACGGTCTGCTCATGAATTTTTGCGTTCAAGTTGCAGCACGCAATTTTTGAGATATTTTGGTAAGATTTAGTACACAGCCGTGCTTTGGCCCAAGGACGAAAATTCTTGAAAATTGTTCGCAATGTACCACTTTCTCGACCATTCCCCGTATAACGCCGCATTCTGGGAAGTTGTTATATGGAAAAAAAATGCAAATTTTCAAAATTTTTTGGCAAAAGTGACTAATTATAAGTGTTTCGGAATACTTTGAACCAGCTGGGACAATTTTTTGAAACGGCTCTGATATAAAAATTCCTGTGGAAACTAAAGGTGTATATGGTAAAAAGATCGAACTTCCAATATTTTATGGTGAAAATTGTTTCATAATAGTAAATTGACGAAGCAATCTACTTTACCGAATTTCGGCCAAGTGGGTCTATTTTTTGGATATCACCGCGTTTATGGATTGCCATGAAATGTAAACCCTAATAGATGTCAAAAAAAGCCTAATTGTTCATTTTTTTGTTACGAAAAAATAAGTGGACCTAATTTAAACCACGTGGGTATATTTTTTCGTCCACTGCATATCTCATGATATTTTAATAATTCGTAGGAGAGTTTCAGCAAAAAAAATTAACGGCATGAAATTTGGATCTCATAGATCTATTTTATTTATATACCCACTTATATAGACGCTATCACGAAATGCAAGCTTTTATTTACCGCTTACTATATACGTACTTTTTGGTATATTATTTCCAAAACGAGCGATTAACTGTTCTAGGCGCAGTTGTGTAGGGTATATAAAGGGCGGATCTGCCGGTATATTATGTTCTTACTTGTTTTTTATAGGGTTTTGCGCCTGCAAACACAAACAGTGTAGTTAGTCCGCAAGAAATTTTCTCATAAAGAATATAAGGAAAAAAGAAAATCGCAGACTTATTTAGTGTCAGGACATAAATTCAAAACTTAATTTATGAAAAAGCGCAGCAACATGTGAGTGCGAAGAGAAGAAGAGTATTAAAATTAAAATTTAATTAAATTGCATTTACAAACTACAACTCTGCTTCTTTTCGATGCATACCGTTCAGTAGAATATACCTTTTGTTTTAGCTAAAGCGGACCAATAATTTCAGCTATTCAATGGCTCTTTTGATGATGATATCCAGGCAAATGCTTCTTAAAACAGCGCCCAATTCATTCAAATGAGTGAAATCATAGCAAAATCCTTAGTGACTGTTACCAATTCCTCTACCATAAGGCGAATGAGTGAATTTAATAAAGACATAATATTGGTATGGTTTTGCTTAAGTCAAATAACTCTTAGCTGCGGTATGAGCATAAAATTCCCGTGTACAGGTGGTAACGTAAAATAGCGAAAACCAAACATTTTAAACATTACTAGCCGCATACTAGGAGAATGAATTGAAGTAAGCCTGTGCCGGTGCGAAGGCTATTTTCCGTCAATTTCTATTTCAAGCGCGGAATACATGTGCGTGTATGGGTACGTGTGTGTGTACATTTGTATGAGCTTGTACACGTGGCTGCGTTCTAGGAAAGCTTGTTTGAAACCGTACAACTTTATTTCTTTCGGTTTGGTTTCTCTCTCTGCTCTCGGTAAGTTGTTCTGCCTGAGTTTTTTTTTTTTATAATGTGTTGCTACAATGAATAAGAAAACCTTACATTTGAACACTAACAACGACAATAGTTTTGCTAACTGCATCCAAGCTAGATCCCACAGACAAATTTTTATAGATTTTTATATGTAATACATGTGTATGCTTCTTATTATCGATTTGCCAGGCAGCTGCACATTGAAAGCAGCAAACATTCATTTGAAATAGTTTTGAAAGAGTGAGCTTTAAGCTGGATGGTGCGTGTGAGATGATTTTTTTCTTACCAAT